CTTATAATCAAAATTTTCTCTAACAGTATTTAACTTGAAAAGCTTGTAGAGCTAAGGAAATTGGAGACGAGGAAATACTCATACTTTTTATATGATATAAGCTAACTAGTAGCTTAGTGCGCACAAATAAAAGCTTGTTTTAAAAACTTTTTTATTGTATTTTTATTAGTTTTTTCTCATTCTATTGATTTGTGACGTAGCATCTGTATTGTAAGGTGTTATTCGTGTTAATTTTATATATGTTATTGTTCTCATAAAGACGGATCTAAAGAGCCCAAACACGATGCTGTTGCGTTATTTGATTGCTGAGTTCCTATGACCACCTTCCAGATCCATCATCACCAGAGCTTGGTCTGGAAAGCATCGAGTACCAATGTCTTCAATAAGTGAGATCTAACTGGCAGGGCTCGGAAACGTTATTCAAAATAACGTTTTTAAAACGTTTCTTATGGTTCTTTGGGCAAGATTGCGTTCGAAACGAAAACGAAATGAGAACGCTTTAAAAAACCGGTTTAATCCGCAAGACGGTGCCGCGCGGGCTGTAAGGGCGGCGTACATTTATTTTATTACGTTATTTACAGTATGCGATGCAAAAAAACGCAAAATAAATGGTTAAAAACGTTTTATTAACCGAAAACAATATAATTCTGTTTTTTTCCAAAATCGTTTTTTATATCGTTCTGTTCGAACGACACCGAAACAAAGTGTTTTTTAGGTATTTAAGATGAAAACGTTTCGAAAAATATACCGGTTTCCGACCCCTGCTAACTGGGCTCGTTACACGATGCAGTTGCGTTATTTCATCACTAAATTCCTATGACCACTTTCCGACCTCATCATCATATCAACTTACCCGTACCATAATATTGCAATGTCATCTTATTTACATGTCTATGCACAATTTCAAATCTATCGGACATTGGGAAGTAGTCAAACATGGCCCATCCTCCCTTAACATTCATAAGATTGGCCTGAGCTCCTGATGATGATATTGTAATCATGTGTTAACAATGGTGTTAGTTTTCTGAAAGTACATTACATGAACACTGCCAAGGTGTTACAACTTGTTTATCTAAGTTCTTTTTTTTAATGATGCAGGGGAAATTCACCATATGCCTTATAGCAAATAGGACCTATCCTGAGGAGCAAGTTCAAAGCATGGCTAAACTACCTGATAAAACCCATTAGAGTGAGGGATCCAGGGTGCGACAAGGAATACACCGAATGCAACCTCAAAGTCTAAATTCAAACGTTGATAAATTTTACTTATAGGATGGTTGTATTGTGTAGTTTATTACGGAATTTGTGAAGAAGATCAACTCAATGTATCAATTCCTAGAAAGAAACCAACGTTACAGGCAAGCGCGCAGTTTTGTAAGCTCCTATGGTCTCTTTGAAACTAATACTGAAATTTATAACGTTGCAAGTGTTAGATTTACGGCGAACGCTTCGTGCGTGGGGATTCTCTAAAACGTCGTACATCTTCCTTATTTATGTTTACAGCTTATACCGGCCGTATCCATATCCTATATAGTTTGAATCCGTTTATCGGATTTCGAACACGTTTCGGTCGAATCCCATATCGTTGGACTTGATATATTATAAGCGTGGTCGGCTACCCTTACAAAATTAATGCGCGCCAGAAGAATTGGAATGATACCGCAAAAAAATGAGGACAGAAACAAAATATTCGACGGGATTACCTAATAAACATGGGAAATGTTAACTAAAAATGTTCTATTTTGTATTCATAAAATTGAATTCTGGTTGAATCTGTAGGTTGACCATGATTTTGAGGGTATTGTAATTTTGAATCAGACAGTACATATTTAAGGGTATCCTGCCTTTTCACTGAACATCGTTTGGCAGATTATCACTTGCCAACCAACCTGTGTCACATTGATACATTGACGATTTTCAAATTTGATAAAATACGATGAAATTCACCATATCGCATTTAATTAGAACACTAATACTATCAATTACTAAAAAAAACAAGTACCTATGAAACGACTGCAATACGATTACTGAAAATCACAAAATAACAAGATCTCATCTCAAATACTCGTGTTTCCATAATCCAAAACATTAAAAACTTTATGCGAAGACCATAATGCGTAGCTCTTAAGCGCGACGCCGTATGCAAAATAAAACTGGCGGGTGACCAAGCCGCTACTATCGATACCTCAATTGTCAAATTCTGAAAAGACTATCTTCCTGCCCGCGGCTTCGCCTACGTGGATTAAATGATAATAATTCTTCTATACAAATTATTCAAGATCCGGAATATGGATTGTAGGTTTATTTAAAAATACGTATAAACACATAAAACATGAAAAAGAGAGCAATGGACAATAAGTGACAAAAGTCATGAATATTCATAATATTCGGGATAATTTGGAAATTTGGATATTCTATATACCTTCCCATTTAAAGGGAAAAACTGTCGTAAACTCAAACGATAAAGCTTTGACTGAACTTAGAATTTATAAAAATATCACTTACACTTATAACTTTTATTTATTAAATCGAAAGGCAATAAGCCTTTTGTATTTTGATAAAGCATTTGGTATTCTGACAAGATTATTGAGTTGTTTTAGTTATTCTAGTTTTATTTAAGATAATCACCACATAATCACTACTTTTAGTTATAAACCGCAATATATCGTAACAAAATAACAGAGATTTATTAAAATTCGATTTACAATAACGGTGGTACAAACTATAAAAATACATGTCTTAGTGCTGATCATATTATATGTTTTTCAGATTTACATCAACTTCAGATAAAAACCTCATACATTTTTTATTAAATTGTCTTGGGAGTAACCCTTTGAAAGGAAAAAAAGATACATCACAATCACAATCGGTAAAGAATTGAAGATACATAAAGACTAAGATCATTGTCGAATAGAGACTCTAGTTTTCTCTTAAAAACTATGTCATTCGATTTAAAAATAATAGCGAAATTAAATCTTCACAGTAGGTATCGTGGTAAGTATTATCGGTTTGCTTTAAGACTGATAATCGGATAATTATCGGATGGTTGACCAAAACTGTACTGTCGTGAGTATCAAGTCGTGTTGGTCTGTCCATTATTTAAAATCGTTAACACCATTCAACACTCTGCCCTTAGTGAATAGGGCCCATTATCTTTTAATTATTAGTATAGAACTAATATTGTAAAGAGGAAAGCTTTGATTATGTGTTTGTTTGCATCGAATTCCCCGAAACTGACTGACTTCCCGGACAGATTCTTTCAACTACAGAAAGCTATATGTTCCGCGGGTGACTTAGGCTATAATTTACACGTGCAAAGTCGCGCAAAGACAGCCAGTAAGTTATTTAAAAAAAAACAATATGTGGAAATATAAGGCAAATCAGAAGCGATTTATATATAAATATTTTAGAACAGTAAATTGAATCGTAGATAGACAAAAAGGAAATGAGTATTTCGTCAATAAACGCCTACATATTCTGTGAAGGCAATATTTCTATCTTCATTTATCTTTGAGACTATTCATGGAAATCTGAAGTTAACACTGTCAATAAGCTCTTGAGGCATATCCGACTGGTACTGACATGCTTATTTAAATTTCCAGGGCAACCTTTTGACGGTCATCCTTTCAACAAAGATATTTTCTAGTATCAATTCAAACAACAAAATTAAAATCCTTTAGCCAAATTAATATTGCTGTGAGTAAAAGACTTGAATCTAAATAAGACTTCAAAAACAGTACCTTCACGTCTTTTCTCTTATGAATACTACAAAGGGGCAAAATCGAATAAATTCTTACTTAAACCGCGCTTATTATTATTTTTTCAATTATGTGCGCCGGTTTGATTTTTACATCAGAATTATATAAAAATATTGTAACTATTATTAAAAAAACTTATTTAAAGTTAACAGTAGCCTTAGTCTAAATCACGGCATTGATATATTTCACGACTGTACATTATATTAAATTTTAACTACTTTTATAAAACAAAAGGTTTTTTTTTTGTTGTTCTCGTAATCTTCTCAGCAACTATTATTTGATACCTATATTATAACGGTACACAATTAAATAAAGAACTTGGCCGCCATCTTGAACCGTCCGCAATATTAGATTTAAAAGATAAATTTAGCTTACTGTCATCTAAACTAACCCTGTAGCTATAGCTGCTTTAAAATTTATTTACAAGACTAGGCAAATATACATACATTGCAAGTAAAATACAAACTTGTTAAAATAAGAACGATAGCATTATGATACTTTTTTTCAATCGATATGTCGTAAACAGTAGTTCACAGTCAACTTGAAGATATTTTCTAAATTTTCGGGTTATAATCATGAATTTTATGAAAACATTTCTCTGTAATTTTGAGCTCGGTGTAGCTCGATGACGTAGTGGATAAGTTGGTGGATAAGCACCGCGGCCTGTCATCGTTGTTGTTAAGCAGCTTTCGCAAGGGTCGGTCACGGGATGGGTGACCAAAAAATTACTATCTCGAGCTACATCGTGCTTCGGAAGGCATGTTAAGCCGTTGGTTCCGACTGCATTTTGCAGTCTTTATTGCCCTCCAATCCGCATGAGGCCAGCGTCGAGGGATAAGGCCCATCCTCCTTAACTATCCATAAGGAAACCCTAAGCCCTTGGAGTGGGGACGTAAAACGGCTCATGATGATGATGTTGGTGAATTTTGGGTGTCGTTAAAAAAAATCACAAAAAGCCGCTACGAACTATGCTAAAATGTATACTGCACTATTATTAATCAGGAATACCAAAATATAATACGAGTATTTTTCGCAATAATCACAGTCGAGGTGTAATAAAGTCCTTAACTAGGTAAAGTTTAATACTTGTAACCTTTTTAGAGCATGTCTACAGAGCTGCATAACTTATTTTTATATGGTTAGTCATTATTTCTAATGTATAACATACTAACTGCTTCAATTTAAACAATAAATAAGGTGTGGCAATTCATGTGCTCGTATCTTTTCGTACGTTTTTATCTCGACAAACACAGATAGCCTAGCTTTAGTGTCACTTATCTATAGATAAAAATCCAGTCACAATTCGATCCACGCCGCGAGTGTACAATCCTATTTTTTTTATATTAATTATAATTAGTGAAGTGCATAAGTGATGGCTGGAGCCGGTCGTGGGGCTGGACGGGGCCCAGCTGTGGGCAAATTGGAGTCCCAAATTTATTGTATCAAGTACACATTGTTTTGTTTCAACGTTGTGCTCTGGGTGAGTGCTATTAGATTCTATTTATCTTTCAGATAAGTACACATAAGTGTAATATACGAAAAATAGTATATTAGATATATACCAATATATGGTTGAAAGAAGAATACGTTTTGATAGCTCGTGTTACGTTTAACATATTATATTGCTATTAGGTTAAAATAGAAAAATGTATTAGTGGGATTTCACCATTATTGAAGATAGAGTTAAGGTTTACATTCAATTTCACGATATCTTTCATGCTGACTTTAACATTGACTGTGGAATGCGTTGCACCATCCTTTCCTTGTCATAATAAAACAATACATTTAACCAGCGGAACATAGTTTACAGTTTAAGTTATGACATCATCTAACCATTGACAAATGATAAATAATTATTATTTGTTTTACCGGTACTTTAACATTATTGTTATTGTTGAAGTAAGTTGGTGCAATCAACCCTTAATCTATATTTAAATATTATTAGTAATGAGTAAAAGAATAATATTTTTGTATTAGGTCTTGAACAATTTCTATCGGTTTTTATCACTCATTGTTTATTCTCGTAGCTTACACTATATTCTATAGTTCCCTAGTAATATAAATATATTACTAGGGAATTGTTAGGTACCCTAAGCGTCAGCTGAAATTATACGCTATTATCATCTGGGGCTTATGTCGAGCAGGAGCCTTTTGGATACACGACCTTGGAAGGTCCTAGTCCTAAATCATTGGTTCAATTCTTATGCTATATTTTGCTGTTGTAATATGTTAATGGTGTGTTCATAGAATCATTCATTCATACCTATTGCGCCACATCTAGTTTGTTTGTGCAAATCTGACGGAAGATTCATTAAACGTCTCAGGGGTGTATGTGTTTTTAAGCGACGGATCTTTCGTCGATAATGCAATAAGCTATCTTCGGAAATACTGATCCGATAACAAAATTATTGCACCTACCGGAAACTTAATCATATGCAGGTAATATAAGCTATAATTTTAACGGACGAACTGGCGGGATTTCATATAATTGTCAATTCTGACGTCGATTCTGAATTAACAATTCGTGATAATTCCTTTGTTGATATACGACTCGTAGTTTCAAAAATAGAAAAAAAAATACTTTGGATTTAGAGGGTAAACAAACTATTATGATAAAAAATAAACTACAACCATATTTGAAAAATATTTCACTATAAAGTACTACAGTATACAGCACCATCTATTATTACACTAATAAAACTTGACCGTTGCTTCCGTATTGAGGTACCTGACGATGAATATAATATTTCCATACAGATAATCTATCGGGAAATTTAAATAACTAGGTAAAACCTTTATATAATAAAAATTTCATTTCTTTGTTTAGCATTATTAAATTTCGTATAATGCTTATCTTTGATACTATAAAGTATCTAACCTGAAAAAGGTGAAGCATAAATGTTTTATCAACAACTGATAAGCTGCCCTGTTTTCCGAGTAACATGATTCATACTAAATTATGAATTAATAAAGGATCCGTAAATGTGTAGTCACAATAAAACTGAAATAGTTAAAAGGTGAATCATTGAACATCTTACTGAAAGTGACGGCGCAATAGTTCATTCGGTTTGCGATTGCGGAGCTTAAGCATCTTCTATAAAGGTCGGTCATTGGATGAGTGACTAAAATTCATTAGAATGTTTCATGGTTCGGAAAGGACTGTAGGTCAATCATATCTGCTACTTAGGTTAGTTGTCAGTAGCCAATTAGAACTGGATTTGAGTGATAGGTCATAATCCGTTCTTCTTCTGTGACACCATTCACAAGGAACCTGCATGTGCCCCAGCATATAATATTTCAAAAAGCAAATAAGGACAATTTCTACAAATATTTATGCCTCAAAGATAGACTTATACATTAATATTCACCTGCAATTTCCTTTGTTTTTATGTTTTTAAAGTCGAATGGTTCTTAATTATGCGGCTTTCAATTATCTTTTAGGTTTCTGAATTTTTATTCCCAGTCGAGTTAATTTAGCAAGATAGTTTTATATGTTGTCTTGGGTCAGAATTGGTCTGTCACTTTCGTTGTTTCTAATTTTTATGATTTCTTTTGAATGCAACTCTTGCAACTTAAATAATACGATAAATGTGTGAATGGTTCAAATTAGTTACTTCGTAATATTTGTCTAGCATAAACATATCACTTGGAATCAAAGATCGTTTATACATCTAACGTATCTATATGTTTTGAGAATTAGCTTATCTTTTGATGTATTCCTTATTCTTTTAGAATTAATGATGGTTGCGTGATAATTGTGTATGTTTTTTTTTATCTTATTATGTGCCATGCATATGGCTGACTAAAGTTTAACATTACCAAATTAAGACTATTAAGAGAAAACAAAACCGTCGCAGCCAACTGGTTATACACGGAGCTAATAATAATTTAAAAACAAAATAATTTAGATACATTAATAAATAAGAGTGATATTAGACTAAAATTTATCGGTTTAATAAAATTTTATTAAACCGAACCCAGGTTACACCATTATTTACTATCAATTTTAAAAAGGTGACATTTACTCAAAGCTATTACTCGTGCTTTTTTCCCATTATTAAGCAACAACTAATAATGATCTGCATTGTAATAATTCTGTAATAAAATTGGCCACGAATTTCACAAAGAGATCTCATGATATAAAACCCACTTCAACATGTAAAAAGGGTTTTATTTCATTGAAACTCTATGCTAAGTCAGCACTGTGCTCGATGTTGTCAACACTTATTGTATTACAGAAAAGAAAAGTATATTCAATCATCATTATATTTATCAATGTGCAAATCAAGCGTTTAAATTATGTTACGAAAATTATTTTATTTTAGTCTTCCAACCTCTTAAAATTAAATAAGGCATCACCAAATTCGACGAACTTCGTAGCCGAATGAGTAGAAAGCCGGTTTCAAGGTGTGGCCGACTTGATGTTTTTGTCAATGTGGAAAATTAACTTTTTTATATTATCTCGCCTCTTAGTGTTGTGGCACTTTCGTTATTTCAGTTACTCCAGTGTTATAAATACTCTTTTTAGAATCAAAGCAATTTATGTGATGTTGTCTCATATATAAAATAGCTCAATACTTACTGACACCATTTTGTATTCACAACTACTATTTATTTATTCTTATTAATGTCAAGTAGAACAATAGTACAAGTCAATAAGTAGTACGTTACTAAACTAAATTTATCGCAACCGCCACATGTAACTAATGTCTGAACCTTGACAAGAACTTCCTATGTGATGTATGGACGCCTTAGGATTAATATATGATTTTGTTGTTTGTTTGAACCTACTAGACTTCACTTACGGGAAGCTGCATCATAAGATAACATAGACGGGCAAAGTCGCAGAAAAATAGCATAAATACTTCTATAGTCGTATTTAGTGTGCTTAGTATTAATAAAAAATATTATTTATTTATTCATCCAATTCACAAATACGGCTTATATCTAGTTAACATTACCTTAAATATCATTACAAAAGAAAAGTATAACCCTTAAAACTGGGATAAACCGGTATCTTAGGAGCTAGTGATCCATCCCAAAAAGTTTATTTTCTTCTTGGCTTCACAAGTAAAGATACGAAATAAGATATAAATCAATAATTTATTGTTCTTATTAAAAGACTGTGATTGTGGTGATTAAGCACTTTCTGTCAGACATATCTTTTGTCATTCCGTATTCTCAGATATTTATTTAATCACGTGCGCTTTCTTGTCCCACATAAGGTACTATAAAGTTTCTCAGAGATTTAATCACGTGCGCTTTCTTGTCCCACATTAGGCTATATAGTGAGAATTATAGAATGACAACACAGGTTGTCCATTGAATAACAATGTTACATACATCCACTTTCAGCATTTAATAACACATTAACTAGTCCCACGGGCGGTACGCGTAGATTTACTGCTAACCACCGCGTGCTACTAATGCCAGTCTTGACGGCGACTTTGGCTGTGATCTATAGCGGTAAACTCAATTAGAACTCCGGAACTTGCCTATTGGTTATCAAACTTATATACAGCTTACCAACAAATACCTTTACTATTTATATTACATAGTGCTATGGCAGTCAATGTGCGCTCGTTTTTGATGAAACGATTACAATCAACATATTAACTTAATAAGTTTTTATATCATAAAAATAAAAGCGATCAAATTAAATTCTCGATGGTCACTTTCATTTGATACCCATATTATGAGCGTGCTTAAAAATAACTTGTATGCCATCTTGGTTGGGCCGCCAGCTCATTCTGTTCGCCATATTAATTATGGATTCAGAATTATCAAATTTAGCTAACCTCGCATTGTGAAATGAAATGAAAATATCTTTATTCAAGTAGGCTTATTACAAGCACTTTTAAATCGTCGTACTTTTAAATAACTCTACCTAATTCCGACCACTGCTTATGAGTAAAGGATTTTTTGGACTTACACTGATTTCATACAGCGAAAGAATAAAGTGGATTTTATTTATGGGTAGGTCAATTACATTTTGTGGAACTTTATTGAACATAGCAATGGATTTACCCAGAAATGATCCTCTGGTTTTCTGAAGTCTGAAGCTTGGAACGGCAAGTTTATTTTTATTTCATGGAATCGTAATGTTTTCTTGTGTACATAATATTTTTATTGATGTATCGAGAGGCAACAATCAAAATATTTATTTCTTTAAATATTTCTCTGAGAGATTCTCTAGACCGTAAATTATATATAGCGCGGACAGCTCTCTTTTGTAGAATAAAAATATCTTGTCTTATATTGTCATTTACACCTGTACCAAAAATTTCAACTATATCATAATTTCAATATAAGAGTATTTGGAAAAGTGTTTTTAAGTTTATAAATTCTACTGAGTGTTTTTTATAGTACTTCCCAAAGGGTAAAACTGGAACCCTATTACACCAGGCTGTATCACATGATCCGTGAAAATCCGATCCGACAACATATATTATTATTCAACAACATATAATAAAAACCAGA